GACAAAGGCAAGATTGATCCAGGGCTAGAAAGCAAAACAACAAAGACTGTATTTTCATAGCATGAACTTCTTTTCTCATATGAGTTTATTCCTACAGAGTTTTATGATGAAGATAACAAAGCAAGACCCATGGATTGGACTCTATAAAAGAAATGAAGAGTTCTTTTGGGTGAATGGAAAAGCATTAGACAATGAACTGTAAGTTGACGTCAAGAGGTTTTGCTGGTGGTACTAGATAATAGGGGAGTAAGAAAAGATAACTAATACAGATATTGACAGTGACTTGAAGGAAATATCTGTCATTATGTTGGAGGGATGATTATTGAGAGAGAATGGAATGCAATAAAGATTTCATATAGCATTGATAAAAGTGTGAGGGGTGAAAGTTAGAAGATAAATTTGTAATGTTCAGAAGGAACATAAGGTAGGAGCTCATGGCAACAGACGGGATGGCAAAGTGAAAGTTAAACCAAGAGACCACTAAGATACCAAAGCAACCAGTGGAGGAATAGAAGGTTACAATAATGCAAATTCTTCCTTATACCATATATTTTGCAAAAGTACAAACCTCCACGTAACCTGCATGAGGTTTGTAGCAAAGAGATTTGGGAGACCTCTAGGAGATGTTTTCATACTTCTTATAGAATGTTCCTAAAAAAAGGCTGCTGGAGGGAAAGGGGAAGCTGTAAGTTTATGTTGCAGGAGCTGCTCTGTGGTCATGGCCTTGTGTCCTTGTCCCACCAGTGTCAGGTGTGGGGCAGTTTCTTCCTCCCACTGACAGCTGTCCCTTCTTCTCAGGCACTGCTGTGTCTCATCCTGCAGCTGCCTGCAGGAGTTGGTAGAATTATCAGTGATAGTAATAAGCACTGAGATTTCACAAGTCTGAAATTGACTTAAAAAGTGGAAAATTTAAATACTTTCAAGTTTGTGACATTACTAGCGGTGTGTGACTATATTCAGGTAATCCCCAAGACTTAAGGGTGTGATCTGATAAAGGCATTTGATATGAGATGTGAGGAGCACATGGGCATCTTGAGCTGAAAACTGCAGTCCTTCCCACTGTTTTATTCCCTGCCTGCAATACAAACATCCACTGATGCTTTCATTATCAGTGATGAATTTCTTCCCATTCTTAGACTTCTGCCTCAGTGCTTGCCTCACACTGACCCTCCTGTCTTTAGGAGAGCGAACACCTCGATGTCTAAGCTCAGATGTTATTACAGTCATGGGGATTTGTCCCTTGGCTTTTCCAGAGACCATTCTAGTTGGGTTGGCCCTATCCACAGAACATTATAGCACTGTTTTCAAACAGAGTTGGTGAAGGAGTCTCTCACCTCTTATACAGGGGCATCTATAATGTGGGAACTGAGGTTCGCTTCCTGATTTCTGCCAGCCCCTGAACCATGGTGCCCTCTTCTGTTCTGAGGAAGAGAGAAATGAGAGATACATTTGTTTCGCACCTTCTGCTGGAACATTTTAGCTGTATAGGAGGATGTGGAAGTCAAAGGTGGTGCCAGTCTTGATAGCACAGCATCCTTGAGACAGGAAAACCCAAGTTTCAGTCTCCAATCTAAGGGTGTGTTTCATATTAAGTGACCACTAGACAAGATTCAGGACTACTATAAGGCCTAGATTTTGTATTCTGGGCACAAAGTCCCATTAAAAAAAGAAAACCCCCCATGGTGTTCTCTTCAAAGCACAAGCTGTCATCCTCCTGTGATGCCTTGCCTGTGGCAAATTGGGCTTTGTTCAAGAGAACCCATAGTTGCCTTTGCTCTATCACAGTATTCAGTCGTGGGTATCAAATTAATCATGTCTTTCTTCCTTCCAGAATTGAGGTAAAAGGCTCTGGAAACTGTGCCTATCTTGAGTCAAAAGGAGTCTCAGCCTCTGGATGTTATTTAACCAGGAAGTGGGTCTGTAGCTTGACCATTAACTCAGCGCGATGAAGGTGGACAAAGCCACCCCCTGACATTTTCACCTATCTCTGATGTGGTGTCTGCACAGGCTGTGTCAATACTCTGTGACCTGGGAACATGTCTCAGCTCCTACCTAAAGGTGAATGACTTTTCTGGTAGCCAGAATTCTCCAGCCATGGAGGAAGCCTCTGATTTTTAAAGATACCACTTAAAAGGTTTGCTCCGGCACCTTGATAAGTCATTTTCTTGCCCCATTTTTCTAAGTACTGCCCAGCCTGTAGTTTCTTTTTGTTGTGTCATCAACATTTCTTCCATTAACCCTTCTTTTGGAGGAGCAACTGTTCTTTCTTTTCCTTTTTGCTGTGCATCTGGCAGTTTTTGTTCTGCTTTTCCCTCTGTGTGCAGGGATGGGTGGTGAAGTGGGACTTTCTGAAGGTCTGCCAGTGCCTCTCAGAGATAGGGGAATGCAGGAATAAGCACTGTTGTTTTAGGCAGGATCATAGCAGGTTTCCCTCTTCCGGTTTGATGGGATGCATCTTGTGTGACTCTGCATTGTATTCAATGTTTTGTTAATGTTATTTTACATTAGCCTTGTTAAATCCCAGTGATAATGCTGTCAAGCTGATTTATGTAGCTGCACTGGACCTGAAGTTATCCTTCCCACAAGACTTATTTTAGCCCAAAAAACCCCAGAATAGATAAGAATATTTATTTACCTGAGGATTTGTTCTGATGGGGGGTAAAAGAGTTTGAACTGGAAAAGTAATAGTGAACCTGCAGGCATGAATGTTTAAAGTTAGAAATAGTTCTCAGTGCGAATAGGCAAAATCAGGAGAAGAGAAAAAGAGAATTAACAGCAAAGGAGGTTTCTCTGTGGTTTCCTCGTGTCCTGTGACTGTCAGAGTGTGAAGCTTCCTAGCAAGTGGTACATTTCTGGTTGGATAATGAGTGTTTCCAGAGAAGGAAGAATGGGAAGTTCACCTTCCTCATTTTCTGTGACAGTAGGACTTCACTGTAACAGGACCACACAGTATGGATATTGTCACCAACTTGTAACTTTAAGATGTTTATTAATATATAATCACTAATTTTGCTGAACTACACTTTTTTAATGGCTTATATTCTTTATAGGCAGAGTAACAGGACTCTACAGTGTGAAAAGCCTAATAATCTGTGTATTAACATATATGTTGTGTTGGGAGGGTATTATTCTGCGATGTTTTTAAATTAACCTGGCTCTGAGGGATATGGTATGTGCAATAGTCCCAAAAAGATACTCAATAAATATCCTTACAGAGCCTCCGAATTACAATGGTTTGTGTCTTAATATTGTGCCATTAAAAGTATTTTTAATTCTGGCACCATTTGGGGAGGAAAAAGCCCACCAGACAGAAGCAAAGTAAAATATTCAGGTTTTGAATGTGAAAAAATCTTTAATTGTAATGTTGGGGTTGACACAGAACAAGACATTTGACCCAAAAAATAATGCATTTCACTTCCCAACTCTTCATAATGTGTCAAACTTTTAACAGAAGTCTTTAACCTAAATGTACTTGTGTGGAAATGCTGAAATAGGCACAGTGAAACACACACAGGATGGTAAATTTGGAGGGATAACATGGAATTTTCCACAGTTCATTACTGGAAATTTTTCTGAGAATATTTGCATTGGGGACATAGTAGAGGTACATTTCACAGATTGGATAGAAATTGTGATGGATAAGGAGTGTATTCATTTACCATTTTGTGTCTCAACCTTTCTTACTGAGCTGATTTACCTGAATGTTTTCTTTAACTAAAGAAAATAAAGTTGCTCTTACAGAATCATAGAGTGGCCTGGGTTGGAAGGGACCTTAAAGTTATCATCTCATTCCAACCCCCTACCATGGGCCGGGACACCTTCCACTAGCCCAAGTTGCTCCAAGCCCCATCCAACCTGGCCTTGGACACTTCCAGGGATGGGGCAGCCACAGCTTCTCTGGGCAACCTGTGCCAGGGCCTCCCCACCCTCACAGGGAAGAATTTCTTCCCTATATCTAACCTGAATTTCCCCTCTTTCAGTCTGAAGCCAAATAGGTTTTTTTATAATTACATTTACATTTATTATTTTTTACATTTACTTTTTTCTTTTTAAACAGGTTGGTTTGTTTTCCCATCAGTGTCATCTATGGAGAGAGTCCAAAAATAGGAAATTTTGGTTCTGAAAGGGAGTTTGGAGAAACTGTGAGCACAGTAGGTTATAATGAAAGCTCTTCTGTAATCTGACTCTTAAGAGGTGCAGTTACCATTCTCTTCTGTGATGTTAAGAAACAAAGGGTCAAGCTATAAACTCACTTTACTCATAGTAGGGTCTGATGAAGTACTTCAATAGCCATTTTTTTTCTTTTTAAATCAGTGACTGCTTAAAAAGTAGGTAAGAGGTTCAGTAAGGCCCTGCAAGAACGTGTGTAATTACATGAGCAGTAGCAAGAATGCTTAAATAGTAGATGTTTCATGAATGTTTTTTAAACCTGAACACCACTACTAATCTAAGAGGGAACAATCCAATCCTCTTCCCCACACATGTGCTGCACTGAGTTTGGGGGATTTTTGTTGTTCTTGTTTCCTTTTACATAACAGCAGTTTTTCAAATGAGCTGCTGATGCTGCATTTTGGAGGGTAAATCTGTGTCAGGGTTTTTTTTGTTTGAAGGGAATTCACTGAAGGTACAGTTTGCTTTTTTATCTGTAGCCCCAGAGTCCTCTATTCTTTCAAAAGGATTTGTTTCTCTCATTGCTTATAAGGACTTTAATTACAGTCTGTGTGATTTTTGTTAGAGTAACATGTTCAATTCATTAAATTTGTTCTTTTTTTCAAATATATGGATGTAATAAAGGCACTAAGTCAGACTGCTCATAGCATTTTTGTATTCTAGACCTAGAAATATTGTTTATCCATTCAATACCTAAGTAATGTATTTACTGAGTGCATTCACAGGCATTAATTTCACCACCTCATCGTACCTTCAAGGCAGAAACTGTGGTTCCACGTTAAAGAATTTGCAATGTAAAGGGACAAAATATAGGTGGAGAGGCAGGTTATCCTCTTTATTTCTTTGCTTTACAAAGTAGTCTTAAAATCTAAGCCACTTCCCTAGGTAAGAGTTTGCTTTCAGGTTCCAAGGTTCAACATCAGAAGATGGGAGCAATCAGCTTATTAACCACAAGTTTTACAAGTCACTTCATGTTTGGTCTGGTATCTACACACAGAAGCTGGGTAGCAGCTCTTAATAAGATACTGTCCAATAAATGTATTTTTTCCAGCCCTTGATTGGCTTCTGTGAGTCACAATTAGGCTCTAAGGAAAAAAAGCCACCCAAACTTCAGAAAACACTAAAATGCTGAAACACAAATAACAAGTCCTGAGCTCAGCAGCTGCCTGAGGGACCTGTATGACAGCAGTGGGCTCCAGCACACTCTTCAGCCCCTGCAGAAGCCACTTTTCCTGCACATCACACAGCTCACCTGCACAGTGCTCATCCTCATCCTTCCTCTCTGCCCTATCCTAGAGGCAGCTGCTTCCAAAGTCTGTCCATATGAAGGCTCAGCACCCCCAAATCTACAGGTGCCAACTTGCAGTCCTGTGACCTGTCACCGCTGACACCTGTCAACTTCTGACTTCTTAGGGAGCACAAAACAGCAATATTCCACACAAGTCTCATTAAAATTATTTACACTGCAAGTTGGTTTGTCAGTAAATGGGTCTTCTGACAGAAAACTGCCTGTTGTCTGGAAATTTGGCTCAGAGCTCCAGCAAAGTTGCGTTCTTCTTACAGATCCACTTTTTCAATGTCTGACAGTTGTCTGCTTGGATCACATTTTTCCTTCTGTAAACAGCACAGTTCTTGTCGGTCTCAATTCTCTTTAGAGCTCTCCTGCTGAGGGAGCAAAAGGAATGCAATGAGTTGTCAGCTTTAGATTCAGTACTAAATTAAAAATTCTGGTTAAAAATACTGGTGGAGTCCTGAGTGAGGGGGTCAGGTGATGCCCTTCTGGTAACCAGCTTGAAGCACAGCAGCCAGGAACAGGTGGGATAGGCAGCCACAGCAGGGTCTGCTGACTGCTGAGGGATGGATACTTGGGAGCATGAGGGTAAGAAGGAGGAAAGCTCCACATGCAGCCACAATGCTGAAGGACCCTTCGGCTGCACAGATCCCAGCACCCATGCTATGGGACAGGCATCACGTTCAGGAGGCAGGCAGCACGTGGTCTGTAAAGTGAGGCAGTTTGTTGACAGTGATTTCAGTAGAAGTGTGTAATAATGTCTCTCAGCATTAATATATACATGAACTGTGGCTGGGGTCGGTCTTGGAAGCAGAAAACATATGTTTCCAAAAGTGCCTGGCAGGAACCGGCTAACCTGGGGCTGGCTGTGGAATAGACTCTGAATACGTGCCTGAGGCTGCAGGATTAGATCTGTGCTTTGGGAAATTAGCTCAGATCCAGAGTTGTATTTCCAAGCAGAGATACCATACCTTTGCTATTGCCAAAGACACCCCCCACACACAAATCATCACCTGTTTACTTTTACTCCATGATCTCCAACTGAACTCCATTGTTTCTTCTTGTCTTGAGTCTTCAACACAATCCAGATATATTTGGGATCTTTCTCTTTATTGTCTATAAATTCCTGTGGAAAGAGTAGAAGCATGTTAACTCACAGAAGAGCTTTCCTGCTGTGTCCGGGTCACTGCCCTGTCTCAGGCACAGCTTTTAGTCCCTCACATGGAGAGCAAGAGCAGGCATCCAGCCATTGGAAAGCAACCCATTACAACAGCCCATACACTAGTGATCAGCCACAGTTTTAATTCAGGCTGATGAGCTTCCTGACAGCTGCCAAACAGCAGACAAAAATGTAGTGATGCCCTTCACCCTAATGAGACCAGATTGCAAATCTTGGTCTTTAAGGTAAAAGACCTGTTCCTCAGGGAATCATGAGTTTCTCAGAACCATTTGGTAGTACCTTGCTATTCTTTTCCTAAAGGAAAAGGAGAAGGAGGTTTGGCTGTTGAATTTCTATTTAGTGGCTGAATCAGACCTCTCGTCCCAGAGCCAAGCAATAGAAATGTGTGAAAAGTCCTCAGCATTTCCTTCTCCCAGTCAAAACTACTCTGGCTTCCATGCTTGGCATCTCTTGTGCTTCTCCTCTTCAACTCTACTCTGCTGACAATCCCAAAACAGGTTCCTGTTGATGGGGAGACAGATGCTTTGCCCTTGATGGGGTTCTTGCATGTGTACCTGACATCTGATACCTTTTCCCTTGGAGAAATGTTTGGCTAAGGCAGATGCCTGTTGTGTTTTCAGGGCTGCTGCAAGACTCACCATCTCAATTTCATCTTCAATGACAAGAAGCTGGGATTTCCTGGCCAGACACTTTTTCTGGCTGTCATCCCAGCTTCTAGCCTCCTCAGAGAAGTAGTAACATCTGCCCCTGTGCAGCTGCCACCCGGGAGGACAGAGCTCACATGTAGTTCCTGTGGGTGGAGAGAGGGGACCATTAGCTCCCACTGTGACTCATTCCAGTTGCCTTGTGGCATTTTATGCTCATGTGCCAAAAAAGTGGCCAGTCCACACTCCCAAATGTGTATTTCCTGTGTGTGGAGAGAGGTTTGAAGGCTACAGTGACCACTTGTCCCCTCAACTTCCCACTCCCTTGCTGTGGCACCGTGCACATCTGCACTTCCACTGGCACATACCTGGACTCTCTCCACCTCCCAGTGCACCTGCCCAGTAGAGAGCACTGGGAGGACCTGGAAGGCTGCAAAGACACTTTTTGTCCTCCCACATTCAGCCCTTGTGAGGAGACCCTGTGGGATGTGACAGGATGTGGGGGGGGTGAATTTGACACATGATGTGACCAGGCACATAAGATGACGTCCAAACTGCTGTCCATGAGGCTGGAGAAGGAACTGTGTTAAGTGGAATTGTTGCTGTTCCCAGGTCAACTTCCCATTTCATGCAGAACATCTAGAAGGAACATTCCCCATGTCTTCTGTCTTGGCTTCCTCTAATGTTTCAAAAGAAGAGCAAAGGATCAGCCCTCAGAAAAAAACATTGGTATTTGCCAAGAAAAAAAAGATCAGGAAGGTCTTCCCCTGCCTGATCCTTGCAAATGGATCGAAAAGCTGAATTCCTCCCTCTGTTTGTGAACAATTGGTGTCTGGAAAGTGTTCTCCAGGCCAAGGGGAGGATCTACAATATATGGTATTTCTGACAGCAGCTCTTGGCAGAAAGACTTGTAAAGAAAGTACCAGAAACTTTATACCAAAAGAGGAGCAAAACTATTGTCATTAAAATGTTAGTTTAGATTCTGTCTCTGCAGGAACATGAAGCTCCCTGGGTTCCCATAAACTGTAGCATATCAGAGAAATGGGAACAGAGACAACAGAAATGTGCACACAGCATGTCCTGTAGGCTCACCCTGTCCATCTTCACACAGTTCCTCCATGAGCCATTTCAGGAGCACTGCAGGGAAGGTCTTCTCTGAAGAAATGTGATTGCCGCTGCTATTCAGACTATATTGGGACAAACCTTCTGATTTTCCTGCTCTGCCCTTCAAAACTTGAAGAGAGAGAGAGATTATGGTTAACAACCAGGATAAGGAAATGTGGTCTATGTATCCAGTGCTGTACTGAGTGTGAGGATGTGTTTGTGTATGAACATTGGCTCATACAGACAGTCAGTTGTGAGCAGACTCAGTGAGAAAAAGATGTTCACGTGATGGCCTGGGTTGGATGAGACCTGAAAGATCATCCAGTTCCAAACCCCTGCCATGGGTAGGGACACCTTCCACTAGCCCAGGTTGCTCCAAGCCCCATCCAACCTGGCCTTGGACACTTCCAGGGATGGGGCAGCCACAGCTTCTCTGGGCAATCTGTGCCAGGGCCTCCCCACCCTCCCAGGGAAGAATTTCTCCCTAATATCCAATCTAAAGCTACTCTCTTTCAGTTTGAAGCCATTTTGCATGTCCTGTCAGTGCAGGCCCTTGTAAACAGACTCTCATTTCCCATATTTGTGTACAACTGAACACCCTTAATGCAATACTGAGGGAATTTTTCTTCCAGCTTGTGAGGTTTAACCATGCCTGTGAGGAAGAGATGAAGCAGCTGGCAGGATCTACTCACATTGCTTGGCTTGTATGGCTATGATTCCGAGCAGAATGAGCACAAGGATTCCCAGGACCAGCACCACATAGAACCAGGCTGAGCACCTGTGTCGACAGCCTCAAGGGAGGCAGGAGGAAGGGCAGATTAGGGTCTTGGCATTATTAAAATGAACACTTGCGTAGGCAAGTTTCTTCTGTGGAAACAGCAGAGAAATCATCTGCCTAAAATCAGCCTGGTGTTTGAGGGATACAGGAATATTTTACTTATTAAAAATTTGTGTCCATTTTGCATTCATGAAAGCGAAATCTAAATATTTTGTCAGACCGAGCAAGTGGTTTTCAATCATTCCATTAAGAATTCTCTCTTTCTCCTTTGAGTTACTTTTCTCAAGCATTGCCTCCTCCCACCTACACACCCACACCCTGCAAGACCCTGCAGAGCAGTTAAGGGACAGTGTCAGGGGTGGTCTGTGGCATCAAGGATGGTCTGTGGTGTCAGGGATGGTCTGTGGTGCCAGGGGTGGTCTGTGGTGCCAGGGTGGTCTGTGGTGTCAGGGATGGTCTGTGGTGTAAGGGATGGTCTGTGGTATGTTCCTCCTCTTTGATCTCAAGTGTTAATGTGCCTGTCCTGTGGCTCAAAGCCAACTTCCCTGAGTGCATAGAAAAGGCAAAAACCCCATTCTGACACCATGGCACGGGGAAGTACCTCTAAGCATCTCTCCAGCTGTTTGGCATTCATCATCTCATGAGAGTGAAATCCTCAGGAAGAGGCAGAATCCGAGGAAATTTGGGGTCGAGGTGTCAGTTCCACCAGACACAGAGTTGCATTGTCATAACCTCTGTTTTCCTGACCTTGCTTGTGTGAGATGAGCAACTGCCCATTTTCTGGCTGCCTCGGATATAAGTTGTAATGTTCCTCTTTCCAAGGGCCTGACCTTGCCTGGCAGGCAAATCCTTCAGTACAGGAAGGGTGGTAATCATCAGTGCACTACCAGCACACAGAGAGCTGGGAATTACCCTGCTTCCAAAGCCAAGTGTGTCCCTGTGACTCTTCCTGCAGAGACATTTACAAGAGGATTCCTAAAAAAAACATGGAATTTTACTTTCCTTTGCTAAATTTTCAATGTAGGGCACAAAGGCATTTTTAAGAATTAGTTTTGAAATGCCTTTCAACGTTGTTTTTACAAGGAAAGTGTGTTGCCTGAGAAGCCAGAAGAAAATATCCACTGGATGAAATGATAATTCAGTTTTTTAAGGAGAGTGAACATGAAGACTCTTGATACCAGGTTTTACCGTTGGGCAATAGGAAAGACTAAATCTATAATAGGAAAGACTAAACCTATAATTAGTAACCAAACAAAATAGCTAAAATACACTACCGGAAGAGGAAGTCTCTGGTCTGCTGTTGCCTTTGGGTTTCGGCTTCACGCGCAGCTCAGCGTACATGATCATGTTTCCTGTGAGGAGCAGAGAAATGCTGACATTTGTGGTTGTGCAGATCATTAAGTGGAGAAACAACAAAGAATTATGTAGAAGACTGAGTCTATATGAAAAGGGGAGTGTGTTTCCACAGCTGCTTGTTCAGCTTTTTTTTTTTTCTAGGAAACAACAGGCAAGGTGATGATTTATCGTTTCTTGCTGCTGTCAGGAAGTAAAATCCTCCTCCGTAATCTTTGAACTACTCAGGTCCTGTGTGGCTGGATCAGGAGGCAGACTAACAGACTGGATGGATAAGATCTGGATCCTATCCATAGCGAACATCCCATCTGTTGCTAAGCCATCTCAGAAGGTGACATAGGGGCTTGAGGGGCATCAGAGCCATGACTGCTTTGTGGAGCAAAGAGGTGCCAAAGGGAAAACTGCCACTCAGAGAAATGCTCCTGCAGCAAGGTAATTCTTGGGGCATTCCTCACTTGTGAATGTTTATGCCAGGATATTACATGGTGCATGGAAAAGGAGAGGAACGGACCTGATGGTTGGAGACGTGCTTTTCCAGATGCACATTGGCAAAACAAAACCAAAGAAGGCATAAATGTAGCATGGTGTGGGTTAGATTCACATGGATTCTTTCTGAGTGTATATTCAATTTTGTTTAGCTGGGTATTTTGCAGTTAGTTTTCTTCTTTCCATAAATGGAGAGATTTTATCAATCTGAATCAATAATAAGCTTCTGTGCTACTGCCTTTGTTTGTGATCACTGAGGCTTTTAAAAAGTGCCTCATGTTGTAAAATCTCACAAATAAGGGAAAAACTTAGCAGAGGAAGAAAGTCTCCTTAGGTTAAAATGAGGTATCATCTGATATGAGAATTGCTGAAGTGTAAAGAGGTTTTACAACAAGAAAACCACTGAGGACCTGATTGGCAAATAAGGTTTATTCATACAGGTGAGATATTCTATGCTTTAGGGAACCTGACCTAATACACTTGGCTGTTTCCTTTATTTAAGTTTATTAGTTCAACAAACTAACAGAAAATTTGTAAACTATATTTACTGTTCTCAAAAACAAATGCTCATGAAAGTTTTTCTTCTTAGAATGTAAATAATTTTCAGAAAACAGTCAGGGCTTTTAAACTTTTAAATGCACTGTAAATGGAGACACTTCTAAACTAGTAGCAATCTGCTACTATTCTTAATATTTCATCTCTCAAATAAAGATCTATTCCTTTGAAGAATATCTCTAAGTCTGTAAAAGAAAAATTGTCCATGCAAGCTGAATATTTAAAAAAATTATTACTTCTATAACAGTGTGTTTTGGCACATTTGCATGTGATGTCCTTAGACATCAACAAGCAGATTTAAGATATCACATAACCTTAATTTTGCCAGATGCTTCCACACCCTTCACCTAATTCAGCAACAAGGAGCCCTGGTAGTGGGAGGAGATCTCTGTCACTTACTAAAACTGAAATTTCACTTCATTTCTCTGTGCCAATTGTCAGGTGCAGAAAAACATCTCCAATTATTGGAAGTTTCTACTTAGTGGAAGTGCAGGAAGGGATTGCTCCTGGCAGGTTGTCCATTATGGAACATTATGGGCCACCCCATTCAGGGGGAACTGGGAGAGAGAGAGTCCAGCAGAAGGTCAGCCTGGTCAAGAGGAGGTTAAGGAGGGGAACAAGAAGCTAAAGGGGACAACTAATAGCAGGCTACAACTACTTCTAGACTAGTTTGATGACAGAGTTGAACTCTTCTTGGCTTGGCTTTCTGCCAAAGAAAGTTCCAGTCTATCAAGTTTATCCCAATAGTTTCCCATGAGTGAGCTTTCCTTATCATTAAACTGCAAACTTACACATTCTCAGCAACTGTGCCACCAGTGTTTTTTTATATCTTTTCGTTTGTCCTCAAAAAATACATTGAATAGACTTTGAGATAAGAACAGAATTTGGGAGAACTCCAAGAAACTGCATAATTTCACAAAATGAAATCCCTTTCTCATAGATCGGGAAAAGCTAAAGACCTGTAAAAGGACTTTCACTCTCAAATCCAGATTTTACATATTTAAAACACCTACTCAGCTGCTGGAGAACACTGGCAGAAGTTCAGCTCCCTGCACGTTTACCTTTCCTCTGCACCAGAGCTTGGCAGCAGCTCCACCCTAGCAGAACAAAGCTGTGCCCCCCACCTGTGTTTTTTAGTATCTACTCCAGTAAATTGACTGTAAAAGTTGCACAAAATGCAGCCAGGAGGAGGTGGGCATTTTCCACTTTCCTAGATATCTGAAGTCCTGCCTAAATTCTGGGAATCTGCCACTCAGAAGGTTCATCTGCCAAATTTTCTATGGTGATTAAATTAAACCTTCTTCATGGTGAGAGTTTGAACCAGGAAGTGCTTTCCCTTAAGCTGCTTCTTTTTCTGCAAGGTAGTCAGTCTGCCCGAGAGAAAGACTGGGATAAAATCTGGGAAAGGGATGGATGTGGCTATTAGCCATCCTCAGGGAACATTTCAACATGTCCCAGAGCTGGGATATTGCCAAGGCAGAAACTGTGATATTTGCCACAAGGAGCCCCATCACCTTGGAACCGAGATCCTCACTTGGAGAACCAGCTTCAAATTCCTGCTCCAAACTATTTTAATAGCAACAAACCCCATGTTAGTACACATTAATCACGAGGACAGAGAAATAATTGTCATCAAGGAAGTATTTCTAGTGTGTTCTATATTGGTATGAGCTCCAATACTGCTTAATACGATTTGATGCTTTTTCTGTTTGTGTCAAAGTGAGCAGAAATATAATTGCTAATGAAATCTGTAAGTAACAAAAAATTTAACAAAGCAATAAATAAAGGCAGCCCTGTAAGTTCAAACCTGGTCAAACAAAATGTATTTGAGTATAATCAGATGTAAGAGTGAGGGAAGGTGATACTGGCAGTTATAAACAGTGAAGAAAAGATTATTTCAGGGATTTTTGTCTCTATATAACTTTAAGACAGCATAACCAAGACTTGTAGTAGTACTGGGTGGATCTCTGGTGCCCATGTTTTTAAAGGAGATGGAAACACTGGAGTATGAACAGAAAAGCATCCACAACAATAATTAGCATTTTTTAGAAGTTAAATATTTAAAACCAAAAGGACATTGAGAAATTAATTCATTATTCTGGTCAGTAACTTCATGTGAGAAAATACCGAGAGTTAAAACCTGTTTGACAAGAATCATCTAGATGTTAATGAAAAATTTCAATGGAAATCAAAGCCTGCCCTGCTCAAATTCAATCCCTTCCTTTAGACAGCATGATTAAGGGATGGTTTTGGATGTCTTCGAATCAAGATTTGATGTCTGTCTCCCTTTACAAACAAATTATATCATTTTAGATACTGGGCAAAATTCTAGGCAAACCCTCTGTGCTTTGTATTGCACAGGTTACAGCAGTACAAACGATATCCATGGATGCATGAACATACAGTCTAAGGTAGTAGTTCCTGTTTTATATATAATACAGTGAACTCATTTTTATTTTTTGGAGATAGGTCTTGTAAAAATATATAAAAAAATAACATTTTCTGTCATTTAAGTGCGTGTTTTCAGAGCACCATCATCACCATTCATCTACGTTGTAACTAGAACATCTTATAAAAATGCTTATTACATAATGTTGTTTCCTTAAGTGATTAAATACATTAAGTACTAATGAGCCTTGAAAGCATGAAAATATGCTCTTAGTCTGACACCACAAACATTTTCTATTTTCTCATAGTGAGAAGTTGTCATTCATATTTGCTGTGATCCAGAATTTTGTCTAAATGCTTTCATGAATGAATTTCATTTTTTTTCCAAGTAGTAGAAATGTTACTTCTTAAAAAAAAAATAAAATGTTTAAATCATCTCCTTACCCTGCATATTGACTTAATGTGTTACAAATATATGAAGGGATCACAGATTGATAATTTAGTTCTGGTAGAATCACTACTGGAAAATTAAAGAGAAAGAACAGGAAGGTTTTAGGATTTATTCAGTACTTCCTTCAGTGGCAGTGACTGCACTTTCAACTGCTACTAGTTTTCTGATTTACTAATTAATTTAATACACCTTTTCCACAAATACGCCTTAAAATACATTGATCTGATTTTTGGACTAGGTAGTAATTTGGTGGAGCGTTGTCTTGATCATGTTCATTTAAAAAGAAATATTATGCCCATTATTCAAAAATGAACACTTTTTCTTCCTCATTCTGCTTCTTAAAACGACGGACCAAATCTGAGCCATTGCTTCTTAGTGGTTCTGACTTAGTAGCTTTACTGACTTATACCTCATGAGGATTTCTTCCACTATTTTCAACTTTTCCCACTTCCCATGCCTTCTGCATGCAGCATGTTATAACCTTCTTCTAGTTTTATCCAGTGACAGTATTAAATATGAAAGAGAGAGAGACAGAGAGAGAACATGAGAGCAAACAGTGTCCACCCAGGAGAGGTGTTTTACCTGGAACTGGTGTCTGAGAAGGAACGTGTGGTTTTTCCCTAGGCAGCATTGCCACATCCGCATATGTGACATCCCCTGCCATTGATGAGCAAGTCCCTCTGAGCTATGGAAAGAGCAGGTTTAATACAGTGGGTTGCATCCTGTATCAGCTTTACCTGCCTCCAGAAGTCACATAGACCGTGCTATGGCTCTGAGAATGGCTGAGAAACATCAAAAAGGAAGGAAGTTACTCCTTTCAATACAGCTTCAAAGCCTATTTGCAGACATTCTGTCTCTTCTTGTGTGATCTCTTGCCCTTCAGAATACAGGAGAAAATGAAGACTAAAAAACATTCTTTGTAATAATATATATTAAAAAAAAAATCTTGTTGGTCAAAGCAGTGTGAAGTTTCTAAGGAATATAATCAAAAATGGGCTTTCACAAGTGCTGGTTCTCATGAGAAGCGCTAACGCAATACAATCAATGTTGTGCTGTATTATCCTCATGTCCATGATCTTATACAGCCTATTCACCTAAAAGAAAGATAAATAAGATATATATCAGTATAAGATGTTTTGGGGTTGATGTAACTGCAACCACATAGCTATAAAAATGTAACTCAAATTCTAACCTGCTCCACACACAGAGCACTTTAATGGTTTAACGACGGGATTTAGATGGTATTGATGAGGTGTTAAAATTAACTCAAAATAAAATAACTGGTTACAGTGTTAAGTGCAGTAACAAAGAGGAAAAAAAAAGAACCTTTGATAGTCATGGAACAGATTACTCAGAAGTGCTGCTCAAGTACAGTTTATATGCAAGGTATCTAAATCATTATTTATCACCACTGATAAACCGATACTGTGAACTAGATACCGACAAGGACACCTACCTAGCAGGCATATCACTAATCCTAATGTGAAACAAAACGTGTCCTCTGATTCAAACAGTTTCCGTTGCTTTCCCTGAACTTCTCATCATCCTTTACAGCAGGATATTTAGGCCTGAAATGGAAAAAAAATCCAAAAAAACCAAACAAACAAACAAAAAAAAAAGGCAAAAAATAACTCCTAACCAAAACCCACTTTCCTTATTTGGACTTTTTTAAACTTGGGTCCATAAAGGAGAGCTAGAAGGCTTGCTTGAACACTTGGGCTCTCTTTCCATCACTTCACATACACTTAAGCAGTCTTTTCTCACATAAGCCCCTCCTAAATTAGTCAAAACCATTAAGATGTAACAATGTATAGTCAGGGTACACACAGGTCTTCATGAATGAGTGGAAAAAAACAGCATTTCTATTTTAAGGGAACATGTCTTCCCGTCTCCTCTGAAAAACACATTTTCAGACAGAAGAGCAAACTCATGAAGCGTGCAATGCAGACCAGGCAGCTGCATCCTCTCTGACTGAGCAGATTCTCACTTGCCTGAAGAAAATTAGAAATGCACAGAGTTAGTTTCCAGAGCAAACTTCCAAATAACCATAAGCAGTTCTCATTTGGGATTTGAAGACTACATGCTGTGCTTACTGCTAGGGCAGATAATGAAAAGGAGGGTGAATTTTAATATTTAGAAGGAATAGATGAGCCTTTGCAAGACATTTTTCTTAAATTCTTTCTTTCCTATTGGAAAGCTATCTTTTTTTTTCTCTCACTGCCACAGTATTTTCATTTGCTAACTATCTTCTTTAGTGTTAATAGTTTTAGCTCTGTTAGTACTTTAATTATTTTCTATTGTTTTCATTTTGAATTTTAGCTTTATTTATGAATACTCAGATGTGAGTCACCAAGCCAGTAGCACTTCCAGAAGAAAAAAAACCAGGTTATTGTAGGAAAAGGCCATTTAGATCCAAGAGGTCTTTGTTAGCAAAATGGCCCAGTGCTCATAAAGGTGATGGAAATGTCTAGTCCAACCCCTGCTCAAAGCAGGACTGATCCCACAGTTAAATCCAGTCACTCAGGGCTTTATCCAGGCAGGTTTTAGAAATCTCCATGGGTAGAGATCCCATGGGCACCTGTTGCACCATTGTCATGAAGGAAGAATTCTTCTGCTTTGTTCAGACAGTGTCACAGATGCACTTTTATCATATATCCAGAACCTGAGCAGACTTTTCCCCTGTGACCATGCACTGCTGTCTGCTGGTAGATTTTGCAGAATAAATGCTTCAGAAGCAGGGACTGGCTCAGCCCAGTCATACCCCCATTGGGATCTTTTCACACTCAGGTATCATAGTCATTTTGGTTTGTTACTCCTGGGGGAAAAAAGTGGCCCAGATATAAAAATCATGGAGTCATTTAGGTTGGAAAAGAACTCCAAGATCATCAAGTCCAGCTTTTACTCATCACCACCTTGTCACCCAGAGGACTGAGTGCCACATCCAGTCATTCCTTGAACACCTCCAGGGATGGTGCCTCCACTGTCTTTCTGGGAAGCCTGTTCCAATGCTTAACCTCCCATGAAGCACCTTGAGGCCATTTCCTCTTGTCCTGTCACTTGTTCCCTGGGGAGTTGGAGACAGTGAGGTGGTTTCTGCTGAGTCTCCTTTTCTTCCAGGGTAAACACCCCCGGCTCCCTCAGCCACTTATTCACAAACTGTAATCTGGGTTGAGCTTAATTTATTGCATGATCCACCCTTGTGTCTTTTAGGTTCTCCAGGTAGAGTCTCGCTTCACTCTGTTCTCTCCTCCCAACCACCTGATGAATATGCAGAGCTTATAGCACACTAATGTTGGTGAGGCCTCTAAAACATCAGGGCTTGCTGTGTATCAGCCAGCCACATGTCTGGGAAGCAGGGAATGATTTTTTAGCCTTGAGTTTTCAGACCGGAGATATCTGCAAGGAACAATAGTGGGATCATTGTGTAGGATTCCTCTGCCACTGCTCACTGAGAGCTCATCAGCCTGGAGCTTCAGGGGCTCTGTTGAGGCAAAAGAGGTGCCAGCTCATGTCATTCTCCACCTTGACACATGCTCCTGCGTGAACACTGACTCTCCACTTGTAACTGTCATGCCTGAGTAATGTCACTTGGTGATGTTCTGGTGTCAGTGGTTGCCAGTTCCAGTTTATGCACAGGGTAACTGTGATAACAGCTGCAGATGACACCTCTTCTGTGGGTGTGACAGCATGTCCTTCACTGCGTGCAAAGGCACAAGCAGACAGAGAACAGCAACGTGGGCTGCAGCGCAAAATTCAGTACAGCAGAACTCAGCACCTGCTGCCACAGAACAGGCAGCTCAGCCCAGGACTCCAGCTGCCTTGTGGTGCACATTCTGAAGAACCTGAACTGCTGATCTGACAACAAAATGGACCTTTGTACTTCCCAAAAGCTAAGCTGCAACACAGAGACTTCCAGGCTAAACTGAGTGAGTCCCATGAGTAAATCTGCAGTTTGGGTTTCAATTCTAACCCTCTACTGTGTCACAGCAGAGCCTGTACATACAATGAGATGCAAGAGCAGCACCCAGAAAGCATGATCAGAGTTAGGGCTGAAACCATAGACACTATTGCCATAAATGAAAGTCTGTGCATTGTTATCCCACACTGCAGAAAAATAAAAAAGGCATTTAAATAGAGAAAATCCACGAATTCACCAAGATAAAGGAAAAAAGAGAGAGCTTAGTGAAGCAGCAGTGCCTGCAGAGTGCAAACTGAACAGCAGCAGCTATTCAGTTGCAGCTTCACGTTCATGGATTAGGTGGGAAGCAGACAGGGTTGGAAGCCTGTGAAGATGGGTTTCTTCCCAGTGCAGGGTTTGGGATTTTTTTTGAGCATGTCAACTCTTTTTGGAACTTCAGAGTGATTCTCAAAGATGCTGCTATGCAAATTATTCACTCTGAGTGCCATGTGTTCCCCTAGATGCATTTTTCACTGCTAACCAGTGGTGGGGTGAATATGTGGACAGGATGATATGTGCAGTCTCCTGAGCAGTTTGGTGATGCTATGTCAGGAAAGAGCTGGTGAACACCCCTTCCAGTGCCACACTGCCGCATTGCCTTCTCTCCTCTTCTGCACTCTCATATGCTGAGTTAATTTTCCTTCAAAGGATTGAAGTAGTGCTGGGACCAACTCCATAGGTAGCATGTTCTTGGCAATATTATAAGTTATATTTTGGTCTTCTACAAGCCTGTGTCTGTGACCTGGAGAATGGCGGGGGGAAAATGGTGTATCCTTCTGCAGACAATAGAATGGTCTGGGTTGGAAGGGACCTTAAAGGACACCTAGTTCCAAACCCCTGCCATGGGCAGGGACACCTCCCACTATCCCAGGTTGCTCAGAGCCCCATCCAGCCTGGCCTTGAACACTTCCAGGGAGTTCACAACTTCTCTAGGTAACCTGTGCCAGGGCCTCACCACCCTCACAGGGGAGAATTTCTTCCAAATATCCAATCTAAACCTGCTCTCTGTCAGTTTGAAGCCATTGCCCCTTGTCCTGTCACTACACAATCTTGTTAATAGTCTCTCCTCATCTTCCTTGTAGCCCCTTTAGGTACTGGAGGGCTGCTATAAGGTCTCCTCAAAAGTTTCTCTTCTCCATACATCTACACAACAGCATCTATTGCTTTGGACAACAGAGGGTGTCTCTGCAAGCTGAGACGCAGCAGAGGTGCTGTAGGTCACCTAGGTGTGATTTCTGCAAACAAACCAAAGCAAAACAAACCAACCTAATAAATACCAAAACCAAACAAAAAACCCACAGACACTCAATTTTCACACACACACACAAAACTAACAGAAAAAAAACCAAACCAAACACCAAACAAAAACCTCTGTGTAAATTAAGATGGCTAATGAGCTGAGACCACTGTCAAACTTACTGTCAGCTACTGCCTCGCGTTTATATGCCTCTGTCTCCCAGTCTCCTTTTTATACTGGGACTCTCAGCACTAGTATTCCAAGCCTGGTGTTACTATTAGTAGTGCATTTTACCCAATTCCCATCTTATTTCTCACTGGCAACTTTAGTAGCGCCAACAAAAATTTTGGCAGATTTGTGGTTTTTTATGATAATTCAAATATTTGTTATTACAGAACAAGCCCTAAAGCAAACCATAAATGCTTAAGTGCTCACCTGCACTGGAGTTTCTCTTGCTTGCTTTGAAACTAAGTTCTGTGTAACC